CTCACCACTGTGAGGACTCTGGACCATAATTTTTCACTGCCTAGTCTGGGAACTGTGGACTCAGATAAGCCTGATGAAACTCAAACTAAAATGGAACCACATATCATTATTTTGCTCTTCAGCCATCTTTGCTCTTGTACCAACACTACTCTGGTGTTTCAGAAGGCCAGGCAGATTAGGTCTTATACTTCAGGTGTGGGAACTCCAGTCTACAGAAAGGTGCTTGATCAATTGCCTTATTATCACTTGACTGCAGAAACTCAGTACACTAGGACCCCTGTATCTGCAAATGTCTGAAACTACATATAGTAGCAAACCCTAGAGACAAGATACAGGGAGGTGGGACAAGGGTCAGAAGCCCCATTTTGGGTCAAGGATGAATAATTTAGAGCAGTGTTTCCCACCCTTGGGTAACCCAGGTGTTCTTGGACTGTAACTCCCAGAAACACCAGCCAACACAGCTGTTGGTGAAGGCTTCTGGGAATTGCAGTCCAAGCACATCTGTGTTACCTAAGTTTGGGAACCACTGGGCGAGAAAATATGTCACATTTCCAGGGGCTACAGCAGGCAAAAGTCCAATAAGTCAGTCCAAAGTCAGAAGTGTGGGAGAGACCACACAGAAGCCAAATTGTATTCTCGAAGGCTTTCACGGCCTTGGGAGAGACCAAACAGATGCCAAATTGTATTCGCGAAGGCTTTCACGGCCGGGATCTAATGGTTGTTGTGGGTTTTTTGGGCTCTTTGGCCATGTTCTGAAGGTTGTTCTTCCTGACATTTTGCCAGTCTCTGTGGCTGGCATCTTCAGAGGACTGGGGCATGTACAGAGTTCCTGCTCCAGTCCTCTGAAGATGCCGGCCACAGAGACTGGCAAAACATCAGGAAGAACAACCTTCAGAACACAGCCAAAGAGCCCGAAAAACCCACAACAACAATTAGATACCAAATTGTCAAAGCAAAAACATGAACCGTAGTCAGAAGTCAGAGTCCAAGAGCCAAGGGTCAAGTAAGCAAGGTTCAAGATAGCAGGACTGTGGACATGAGTCAGAGAATGGACTCTTTGCTTCCACAGATTTCCAAGCCTTCTAGGTACAAATTATATAGAAGCAGCAACCATCAAACTCCTAGAAGCCTTCCATCCGCCAAATTGTCAAAGCGAAAACATGAACCGTAGTCAGAAGTCAGAGTCCAAGAGCCAAGGGTCAAGTAAGCAAGGTTCAAGATAGCAGGACTGTGGACATGAGTCAGAGAATGGACTCTTTGCTTCCACAGATTTCCAAGCCTTCTAGGTACAAATTATATAGAAGCAGCAACCATCAAACTCCTAGAAGCCTTCCATCCTATTAAAACTCAGGACTGGTCAACCTGACATTCCTGTGGGAAGCATTCATGCGAGCTTCAGATCTTCATGTTGTGAGTTTTTTCCGAAGTTTGTCCCTCACTCTGGCTACTAGGGGAGGAGAATCTGTTGGTGATTCAGCTGTCTGTGCTTCTAATTGCCCAGTATTTTCCTCAGCCAATCTTCTTCAGCTGAACTCATGTCAAAAATACATTTATACATTACCTGAGTCGTCCATCCTCTGCTGCAGCTCCTCCTGGTATAATCTTGGTAATAAATATTCCAGGATCGTCCCCAATGTGCGGGTTATCTGTTCCTCCAGCAATACTGAAACCCAGGCCAGAATTACCCTGAAGGAAAAGATGAGGGAGGGGAAGAGAAAAAGAAAAAAATGGCATCTGTTATACAAGGATCAGCCTCAACTTCACAAGTATGACGCTGAATAACGTAAAACATAATACCTCAATGCCTGGCTGTTTAAATCAAAGCCTTGGAGATAATGTTACCATATTCTAATTCCCAAATCCAAAGCCTAATATGCATAGTGTACGCCTTGGAGATAATGTTGCCATATTCTAATTCCCAAATCCAAATCCAAAGCCTAATATGCATAGTGTATAAATTAATTTGCATAATGTGCAAATTTAAATACCTTCATTATTGCATTGTTTGCCTAGCCTGAGGTTTCAGCCTTGACACCATTTACGTAATAAGCATGAATCTGAGAGCTACAGTACGGCGAGAAAAGGGATTAAAGTATTGGACTTAGAATTGGGAGACCCATCTTCTCACTGAATCTCCTATAGCCTTTTTCACCATCAATTTTTACTAATAGCAGAAATCGACAAAGATCTGTAAATATGGCACAATAAGGCCCCCGATGGGCAAACTGTCCTCTAAGTCTTGAGAAAAAAAATGTGCAAGAAAGTTTAAGTAGAAATCGCAGGAAAAAAATACGAGGCCTGATTCCCCTTAGAGATACAGGAAATATAATCCAGAAACCTGTTGCACATGCGTATATTAAATCTTATATATCAACTTAGCGGGTTGCTGTTACCTAAAAAGCACTAGCTGCTTTAAAAGGCACACAGTAAATAATCACCTCCTTAGTCGTAACCTGCTGTGGCGAGTTACACAATTTATCTTACGCAGGCATAATGCACCAACAGGATTCTAGCCAATTTATTATAAATAGAAGAGATTCTAATTCCCTGTTTTTCCTTCTTCGTGTTTTGTTTCTTGCTGTACCAGTACGATTTCACTCAGATTGATAAGCCTGTGAGTACTGCTGTTATTTTAACAATGAAGCTGTAAAAGCCACTGAACTTAGAGCCGCCAAAGCTTGAATGACACGAGAAATATGGATTTACACTACATGCACTTGGAGCCTATTTTGCTGATCTTTTCCCTGAACATTCAAAATTGAAAAGAAAAAAAAACAAATGCATTCAATGACAGCATTTACATTAGGAATGGCAGGATAATATTGACTTATTTCTAGGAATCCGCTTGAGTGCTTAGAGCAGGAGTTTTAAAAGTCACTGAGTTTTCCACTGGTTAAAATTAGTTTTCAACCTTGAGATTGATTTCACTGAGTTTTTGCTTCTAACTACATGTACATAGGATTGCACTCCAAACATTCAGGAAACAAGCTCATACACACTTATCACTTAGAGTCCAATTTCACATTTGCCAACACAGATCCTGGGTCACAGTTCCATCTATAATGATTACAACAGGATAAAAAGAAAATAAATGCTTTTTTGACTTACTCTGACTGTATAAAAACGTAGTTGAAAAGCATGAGGGGAGCAGATAAAACTGAAGTGAAACTTTGAAACAAAGAGGAAGAAATACAGAAAGGTATTGACATCAGTGCCATGTTGTTTGCTAGCCAACTAGAAGAAGAGGGACGAAGAATGGAAACAACTCAGTGAAAGCTGAGCGCACGGAGGTAGCGTTGAAGCAGTTGGATGCCATTTTTCTGCCCCTCTGTTTATTTATATTTCATTACCTATTTGTTCAACATCTGTACTGCTCATCTGGCTACAAGGCCACTCTGGGTGGTTTACAATCAAAAAAAGTAAGAAACAAAATAAAGATACAGTGGGGTCTCTACTTAAGAACTTAATCTGTATTGGAAGGTGGTTCTCAAGTTGAAAAGTTCTTATGCTGAATCTGCATTTCCCATAGGAATGCATTGAAAACCATTTAATCCATATCTGCTCTTTTCCGTCCATAGAAACCACAGTGGAAAATCTACTTAAGAACTTAATCCGTTTTGGAATGGTGTTCTTAAGTTGAAACGTTCTTAAGTTAAAGCAAAATTTCCCATAGGAATGGACTGGTAAGCAACAAAATAAAGATATACATCAAATTACAGCTATCAACAGTGAACTCAAAATTAAGCAAAATCAAACACAGATCAAAATTCAAAATAAATTAAAAAAAATAGAACATACACTGGGGGCTGAGGTTCTTCCCCTCCCCTCTAGCCAAATCAAGTGAGAAGGCCACTTGATTGGTGCAAATCATAGAACAACTAAGTTGGAAGGGGCAAATAAGGCCATTGAGTCCCCTGCACAATGAAGGAATCCAAATCAAAGCAAGTCTGACAGATGGTTGTCCAATTTTCTCTTGAATGCCTCCAGCGCTGGAGTAATTAGCACCTCCCAAGGTCATTTGGTTCCATTGTCATACTGCTCTAACAATTAATCCCCCCCGATATTCCGCCTAAATCTGACTTCCTGTAGCTTGACCCTCCCCCAATATTCCACCGAAATCTGACTTCCTGTACCTTAAGCCCATTATGTATCCTGCACTCTGGGATGATCAAGAACTGTCCCTGCCCCTCCTCTATATGACTGGGACGTGGTGGCACTGTGGGCTAAACTGCAGAAGCCTATATGACTACCTTTCAAGTATTTGAAAAGTGTTATCTCCCCATAGTCTTCTTTTCTCTAGGCTAAACTTGCCCAGTTCTTTCAGTTTTTGCCTATAGGGCTTGGTATCCAGCCCCATAGTCTTCTTTTCTCTAGGTTAAACTTGCCCAGTTTTTGCCTATAGGGCTTGGTATCCAGTCCCCTGATCATCCCTGTTTTTGTCCTCTGAACTTGCTCCGGTTTGTTGGCATCCTTCTAAAACAGTAGTATCCAGAACTGGGCACAGTACTCTAGATCAAGTCAAGAACCTTTATTGGCATCTTAAGTACTCTAGATAAGTACTCAATGGACATGAAGAGAACCAAGCAAAGGCTAGCGAACCTAGCTAATCTGGGGAATATTTGGCTCTAAAATCCTAGTCTGTTTTACAAAGCAGAGTGGATTCCGCCTAGGTAAGTTTAAGTGCCATGTATTGATTCACTTTCCATTTGCCAAAGAGCTCTTTTGCGTTGGCAGAAGGAAGATCTAAAGGACATCTCCTCCACTACTCAATTTCAGTTTATCATTGCAAAGCATCACTTTGCTTTACTAAGATAAACAACATAGAGATTCTACCTTTTCTTCACACTATGTTCCAATAAATGGAAAAGGCAAATGTTATTTGTTGAATGACAATGTCCAGAAAAGCCCAGCCAGCATAGCCACTGGGAATTATGGTCCAAAAATATAATTTGCTGATGAAAACACAGCAGCAGCCTATTTTCACTACTGAGTCGTGCTAAGAGTTCTGCTCTTGACATAGAAATAGTGCCTGGTTATATTTAAATGCATTTGTTTATATTATGATCGTAAATGTATTGTTTGGAATGCACGTTTGGTGGGGGGGTTATGTGATGGGGGATAAGTAAGGAGAAGGAAATTGTGGTAAGAATGGTTCTGATTGGTTCAGAGAGAAACTACCATATTTTTCCATGTATAAGACTATACTTTTGTCTAAAACTTTAGACTAAAAATTGAGGCTTGTCTTATACACAGAAGTAAGCTGAGGAGAGAACAAAACAAGTGGAGGGGAAAGCAGGGATCAAAGTGCTGCAGCTTCACTTTGATCCCTGCTTTCCCCTCCCCTGCAGCACTTTGATCCCTTTCCCCTTACACTTGCTGATCCCCACTTAGATTTCTTAATTTTGGATTAGAAAAGGGGGTGTCTTATACACGGGGTGTCTTATACACGGAAAAATACAGTAGATAGATAGGAAGACAATTTGAGAGAGACAGTGAGTCTAGGTTGGTTCCCAACCTTGGGCCCCCAGATATTCTTGAACTCATCATAGGCATCCTCATCATAGGCATCCTTCAGTCTCGAGCAATGAAGGTTTCTGGGAGTTGGAGTCCAGGAATGTTTAGAGACCCAAGGTTGGGAACCCCTGCTCTATTGGATCAGTCTCGGAGTTGACAGACTAGCATAGAGCACACCAGAGCTCTGAACCTGAGACTGGGAGAGAGAAAAAAGAAAATGAATAACTTTGTGGAATAAACGTAAAGCCTAAAAATAAGCAGCATTCTTCTGACACTGTTGTTTTCATAAAACATGACTCATGCTATTCCCCCTGCATGCTGTGGAGATCAGTATTTGAGGGCTGGCTCTATGAATGCTGTCACAAGGGGCTAAGTGAAGGGTTAAAAATGCACACAGCTAAAGACTGGTGGCAGTGAATGAGGAAGAGAGTAAATAAGTGGAGATTATTGAAGAAAACAAGTTGATTCCTTCAGTTATTTGAAGAGACCATTACCTAAGCAGTGAAGTGATAAGACCAAAGGAATTTTGACATTATCATCAGAGAGAAAAGGGAATGACAATAGTAAGCCCAAAGAAACCATACAACTGGGACAGCCAGCAGAACGTCTTCATCTATATACACACAACCAATTCCTAAGATCCTCAGAAGAAGCTTTATTAGTGCATTACTTTCCCACTAACAACAGAATATTGGTTAACATCACAAAAGCAGGCATTCTTAGTGGTGCCCACTTTCTCTGGTGGGTGCCCACACAGAGGTAGTGCTGGAGGAGGCGGGGTAGGGAACCCACCACAAGAGATGGGGCTTTGGAGTGCCAAACACCTGTTTGTCTCATAAACGAATGGTCACGAACTAGTGGCCGTCTCTATTCAACAGGCAAAAACTATGTTGGGTTTTAAATAGGGATGGGGGTATTCGTATACAAATACGAATGGCCCCACACAGGTGGAGATAACGAGGGTCCGGCCCCATGGTGCTGGATGGTCCACTTGCTGATCTGCTGCTGCTGCGGGCTCCGCACTAGCATCCTAACACTCCATTTTTCATGATTAGCAAGCCACTCTTCGACCTGGCAGGGAGGCTTGTTGTCCCATATCCTGCCAGGAGTGGCTCGCTGATCGTGAGCAAAGGAGTGATATGATGCTAGTGCAGAGCCCGCAGCAGCAGTGG